GAAAACAACAAACATTCTGAATCCAATGCCCCTCACTTTAGCTCACCGTCCCCTTGAGAGTCCCTGGGGGAACAACTGCGTTCCGGGAGGCAGTATTCCCCCCACCTCATACGGCTCCTGCAGCAGCTTCCCTCAATTTCAACTGGTGAGGAACTTCCAAAAAATAACACCACTCCCCCATCCAAATAAAGCCTGTCCTTTATAACCTGAGAGTCTCTTCTGGTAAGCTCAACAAGCGACCACAGAATCCAACCAGGTGATTCCACTTCCAGACAACCTCTCCCCTGACAAATCAGTTCTCCAGAGTAGAAGAAGCCACTCTTTCATCTAGGATAGGATAATAGGGACCCTCCAGCTTTAATGACCCTCTATTATAAGCCCTGTACCATTGCCCTGTTGGAATTTCCATCCAACATGGAAGTAAAGAGGCAACAGAAAAGGTAAAGAGCCTCCAAAGGGCAGTCTGCAGTCTGACACAGATACATATACCGAAGACCCCAATATCAAATGGAATTCATAAATTGTACAGAGAGATTCCCAAATCATCACACCCATCCTTCCAGTTATTCTGCAGACACTGGGCATTTTTGTTCGTTTAGACCAGGGGTGGACAAACTACGGGCCGCGGGCCGGACCCTCCTGCCCGGCCTCTGAGCTCCTGGCCCAGGAGGCTCGTCCCCGGCCCCTCCCCTGCTGCTCCCCCTCCCCCGCAGCCTCAGCTCACTGCGCCACCGGCGCAATGCTCTGGGCAGCTGGGCAACGCAGCTGCAGAACCACGGCCTGAGCCGGTGCTCTGGGTGATGCGGCTGTAGCACCGCCAGCCACCAGGGCTCCAGGCAGCGCAGTAAGGGGGCAGGAAGTGGGGGGATTGGATAGAGGGCAGGGAGTTCGGGGTGGTGGTCAGGGGGTGGAGGTGTGGATAAGGGTTGAGGAGGTCAGAGGGCGGGGAACAGGGGGCGTTGAATGAGGACAGGGGTCCCGGGGGGGGAAGTCAGGAAAGAGAGGGGGGTAGGATGGGGTGGCGGGGAGCAGTCAGGGGCAGGGGGTCTGGGAGCAGTCAGGGGACAGGAAGCAGAGGGTGGTGGATGGGCCAGGAATCCCTGGGGGTCTGTCAGGGGACAGGGAACAAGGGGGGTTGGATGGGGTAGGAGTTCTAGGGGGGCTGTCAGGGGGCGAGATGCAGGGGCGGTTGGATAGGTGTTGGGGGCCAGGCCACTCCTGGCTGTTTTGGGAGGCACAGCCTCCCCTAACTGGCCCTTCATTCAATTTTGGAAACCCGATGTGGCCCTCAGGCCAAAAAGATTGCCCCCCCCCCGGTTTAGACCTTAAAACTAGATGTAATCAGCCAACAGTTTAAGCAGTTGAACAGCTTTTCATAATTAGCGGCTCTTCACTCATCTTTTAATCTACCTTATATTCAAAAATAGTAAACTTCCACTGGAAGAATCCTGATTACAATCTTGACTTGGATAAAGTTAGTCCCCAATCCATTTTATTTACTTATTCTGTAATTTATTAACTAATAATGAGGTACAAGTTTCCCGGGGTTACCTTCAAATCCAGGCAGCACATTGTAATTTGAACACTAATTGCCCAAGAATAGGATTAAAAATATAGGATGCACAAGTACTACTGGAGTTCTGGCGCAATAGCTCTCTCTTTTTACTGATAGAAGAAAGAACAGATGAAAAATCCAGGCAACAAAGCCAGAGACAATATAAGCAATGATTGACAAGCCAGTAATTTCCATGACATTGCACAAGATGAACATGCACACAGGTTCTCAGGGCTCTTGTGTGTTAGTTAAAAGGTCATCTGCAATTAATGGCTAAGCAGAATTTCCACTTATAGCTTCTGCTCTTAAACTCTTCCTCCTTTGACTGAAGAAGCTCCTCATGAGAAATCAAACAAACCAACTAAAAGGTCTCCAAGTGACCTCATCTGGGATGCCCTTTTGCCTCATAGGGTATCTCTACACTGGAGATGGAAGGTGTAAACTCCAGCTTCAGGAGACATACCAGTGCTAGCTCTGATTCAGCTAGTGAACTCAAAATAGAAATGTAGCCACAGCGGCGTGAGTGGTGGGAGGGGCTAGCTGCCTCAAATATGTACCTATGGTCTCGGATGGGATCTTACTCAGGGTGGCTAGCCCCTTCCACCATTCATGGTGCCGTGGCTACACTTCTATTTTTAGCATGTTAGCTTGATCACAGCGAGCATGGGTATGTCACCTCAGGCAGGAATTTACACCTTCCAGCTCTTGTGTAGAATAATATAGGTTGCAAGATCAGTTGGCAGAAACAGAATACATTAATTCAAACTGATTCAAAAAGTTATTAATTAAAGAAAAATGTAGGATGTGGCACTACCCTGAGTGCACGGCTTCCTCTGCACCACCGCGTGTCAACATTCCCCCAGTTCATTTTCTGACTATTGTAGCAAATTCTTACGAATGTGCGGTTCAAAAACCTAGGCATTTGCTATTTGAGCCAAAGGAGCTCCTCCTTTAGCTGACACTAGGAGTCTGGTTGCAGTGGAGTTATTCCTTGATCCAAAGCCCATTGAAGCCAGTGGAAAGACTCCCATTGAATTTAAAGGGCTGTGGATAAGACCTTAAATGAGAGGTGTCTCTTGGCTTACCTAAAAAAAATTGTTACCTATGACCCATGAAGATTCCCGTTTGAAGCTTAGCTGCCCTCATGCCCCAGGGACAACTATGCACAGAGATTGGCTGTTAGGTGGAGACTAATTTGTTAATTCTGCTTTAGAGTTCAGTCACTAGCTGCAAGACACAACCCATGATTACTGTACATTAGCCTTTTATTTTCCCCCAGGCCTTGCCAAAATACTGTATTATTTATATCAATATTTTTGTTACCCTGTCCTGCCCCCACCCTACTAACACTTGTCTTTTAGATTATAGGGTCTTCGGGGCAGGGGCTATCATTTACTATACATTTGTACAGCTCCAGGAACTATATAGCCCAACCTGGCTATTGCTATTATTATTTTTACTGCTACAGTGGTTAGAAGCCAACCAAGTTAGTACCCCATTGTGCCAGGCCTGTAGGCACTACTGCAGCACGAGTGATACCGAAAATAATCAGGAGAGCTGGTCACAGTCAGGCGCTGTTCACTGAAAATCTTGTGACTAAAGCGGGGCAAATAATTGATTTCTCTGTTGAGTGGCCAAACAAAACAAAAACAAATTCTGTTCACTTCGAATCAAAACTGATTTTTTGTTTGTTCCCTCCCCCCTCGAAAAAACAAAATCTCTCCAAAATAAAATAAGATTCATTCAGATCAAATGAAACGCTGATTCAAAAATGACATCGATTCAAACATGTCATTTCAAGTAGACGTTTCCCAAATTTTTGTTTTCAGGTTTTTTTCATCTGAAACTATTGGCTGAATTCAACCAGAAATCACATAGAATTTCAGTGCCCAGAAAAAAGCCTTTTTCAACAAGTTTACTATCTTCTGCAGGGGAGTGGGGGCGGGGGGGGGGGGGACGAGATTTAGGTGCAATACCTATAAGACACTCCACAATGGCTAGGCAGGTAGTAATGTGTTTGTTGCATCGCTCTGTTTTCTATCAATGTACACTTGGATTGTAAACTATTTGGGGTAGGGCACCATATTTTTACTACATGTGTACACAACATCAAGCACAATGGGCTCATGATCCCTGTCTGGGTGTTTGGGTGCTACTGCCATACAGACAACAATAATATGCACCAAAAAGTCATGGATGGCTGTGGTGTTTCAGGTGAATGTAACTCGCATACATAACATCCCCTGCAAGTAAAAAGCAAAGAAAATTAAATCCCTCCCGTACTTGTCTAATGAGAAAGGTATATTAGAAATTGATTTTTCATCCTTTATAAATCACATGCTTTTTGATGCAGTAAGTTATTACAGATGCAGGGTCTGATGCTCCATCACTGACACCTTACAAGTATGCAACGGGAGTGCAAATCAGTGAGTGGAGAATTCTGGTCTGATATCTTTTGCACCGATTGTACACTCACTTAGCAAGGTGTAAAAAGACTAGACAAGGTGAAGGAGAGTAGAGAGTCGGGCCCAAACTCTCAACTTCTTTCATAATTAAAGGATTTGTAACCTATGGATTTATGTCACCCTTTCAGGCTTAGTTAGCAAAACAGCTGGGAAAAGTTCCATTCAAATACAAATAGAGTGACTAAATCACTTCCCCCATTTTGGTTGTAACAGGATTACTGGGGGAAGGCAAACAAACGTCAGAGAATTAGCTTCTTTTTCTAGAATTGACGTTTCCACTTGAAGCTCACCCTGTGTTTACTTGGAGAGAAAGTAGTTTTTTTTTTCACTGCCACTGTTTTTAAACGGGATTTATTTATTTTTTTCAATCTCAGATTAAACAAACTGTTATTATTGATTCTAGTGAAAATGAAATGTTGATTGTCAAAGATGGTTGTGAATAGTTTGCTCCACCTCTGGTTGATCAGAACCCTGCTTGTCTTAAAAATGCAAAACTCCCTTGTATTTCAGGCCAGTGTGTGAGTGCTTTAGTCACTTTGACAAGCTGTTACTGACCAAGTAGTCTAGCTCACTTCAAGGGAACCAACTATGTGAGCAGCTACTTATACAAGGGTCAGGGTATCTATAGTCTGGCTCTTAATGAGTAAGTGGGGGAAGTAGCTGAGAGACTTATCAGTTAGGGCACATTTGTCACACATCTCTTAGATTCAATGGTGATAGGCTTTTTAGAAAACATGGGGTGACAGAGTAAAAAGGATGGAACATAAGTCCCATTTTCTGTTGCTTCATCAGTTCATGAGAGACAAGAGATTTCATTCTTCTCAGCGGAGGCTATGAGCTCTCATGCTTTCCTATGTGTCTGCAAAGTAATTGGCCTACTTGGGCCTCAATCCTGAAAGGTCTTTGGGTGCCACTGCAATGCAAATAATAAAGAATGGCCTTGAAGACCCATTTGTCTGTTTCATCTCTGTGCTTCCTACCTTCCTTCCTGTCCCAGCTCCTGCCCATCTGTCATGTTTCATGCATTCAAAGTTTGCAGCCTTCAGAATTCTGGGATCCTGTCTCTGGAACACAGAGAAAAATGGAGGGACGCATATGGAGTGAGTGGCTTTGCAGTAAGCAATGTGCCTTACAAATCATCTTATTAAAGATAAGGTTAGTAGATGACTTGATCACAGTCTTTAAGTCTAAAACAGGAAATTAATTCATAGAATCATAGGATTGGAAGGGATCTCAAGAGGTCATCTAGTCCAGTCCCCTGCACTCATGGCAGGATTAAGTATTATCTAGACCATCCCTGACAGCTATTTGTCTATTCAGACAGATTCAGATAGCAGATGGCTCTGTAATCTACCAGGCAAAGGCATGACAAGGTCCAGTGTTTGGAAGAAGAAGCTAGACAAATACAGATTAGAAATAAGGCATCAGTTTTTTAATAGTGAGGGTAATTAACCATTTGAACCACTTACCAAGGAAGGTGTCTTTAAAGCAGGATTGGGTTTCTCTTCCTAAAGGATGTGCTATAGCTCAACCAGAAGTTATGGGCTTGATGCAGGAATTACAGGGTGCCATTCTCTGACCTGTGCTATGCAAGAGCTCAGATTTGCTAATATAATGGTCCCTTCTGGCATTAAAAACTGTAAGCTTGCCCCAGATGTATAGCGCTCCCAATACATGCCAAAAAGGAATGAGATGATATGGTAAAGGAGTGGCCTTAAACACAAGTAAAGCAAGTGATAGCTCAGTGGTTTGAGCATTGGTCTGCTAAACCCAGGGTTGTGAGGTCAATCCTTGAGGGGGCCATTTAGGGGTCTGGGGCAAAAAAAAAATAGTTAGGGATTAGTCCTGCTTTGAGCAGGGGATTGGACTAGATGACCTCCTAAGATCCCTTCCAACCCTGATATTCTATAAGTGGCTGCTCAGGGTCTTGCTCTTCACAAGTCATGATCTGGTCCTATTTCCTTCTGCACTAATGGAATAAAAAGGAATTTATTACCCGGTCTCCTCATCCCTTCTGGAACAATGCAGGAGGCATCTTGTCATTTCATTTCTTCACTTCCAGAAGCATAGGGCCTTGCAAATCGCAAGGCTGGTCCTAGGATAGTTTGTTGCCAGCTGCAGAATGCGACTTCCACAGTACAATTTTTATGTATCTTTACTGTAGGTAAGAAAGCAGGGGAAAGAGAAGGGTGTCAGAGTGTTACCCACATTTCTCCCCCTGGGAATAGTTGTTATTCAGAGACTGACTTGTCCAGGAAAGGGCAATCCAAAGATGTCCGGGGATAACTTGGGTTGTGATACCGCAGCCCTTCTTATTCAGCGTCTAGAAGAAATAATGAATGAAGTTTCCAAGTGTAAAACCAGTTATCAATACTAAGGCAACAAATGCTAGTGCCTCGCAATCCAATACTGTTCACAGCATTGCACAGGGGTACACCATGAAAACATTTCCAGGGGCATATGTAAAGTTAAATGATGATTTTTTTTAAAAGAGTCATAAGTACCATGGCCCTAATTCAGAAAACCACCCCTGTTCAGCAAAGCGCTTCAGCATGCTTAAGCATTTTGCTGAATCAGGAACTTCCTGTTTAAACAGGATTTCATTGTATAACTTACTCCCGTAATGATGTTCTCCTCTTATATAAGAGGCTGCATTTCATAATCCAAGAACTAAAACAGTAGTTCTTATTCCCCAGGGCAGACATGTAGTTCAAATTGTATGCCAGCCCCTTGACATTTTGTAAACAGCATTTAGTTCTGTTCCTTATTGGGCAGTTCTGCACATACATGGCCCCACTAATCATGAATACAAACTATATTTGAGTGGTTATACATGATACTGAAGAGGAATAAGTTAAAAATATAACTGCAGTGGTCACTATTAAAAACCTTACAATTTTACTTTTGCAAGTAGAAATCATCATACTATTCACAGTTTCCTTATATTTCAAAATACCTAGCGGATACCACAGTAATATTAATTATTCCCATAAGTGATTGTAAAACTTTAACGGGGACTATTCTACATCAAAAGAAAGGTTGAGGACTCTTAGACCTGGTCTATATATAGATTTAATACTGGTATAATTGTTGGGTAAAGGGGTGATTTTTTTTAACCAAAATATTTATCCCACTACAACCCCTAGCATGGGCACATTTATACTTAAGCTTGGAAGGTTTTTATCTGTAAGTGTCTATTTCCCCACACACAAACAAACCACAAAAACATATTTCCATTGATAATAACCGAGATTTACAGCTAGGCAAAGTAATAAAACTGCTGCTTGAGAACTTGTTAGAATTTGATTTCAAGGTATTTACTTTGTATAATTTGACATGAGATGTTGAAAATTTGTGTTTTGATGGTTATAACATTTTAACATTTTGAATCTCAACATCTGTCATGAAATAATTATTGTCTGACCCGCCACCCAACACTTAATTTCCTACAACTGTGAAAATTTAAATAAATACAAATTGGGGAACAAAATGCTTAAAGTAAACATCTGTCGAAATTGTACAAAAAATACAAAATTCTGCCAAGGCTATCTATACTGGTATAAAAGTGCTTATACTAGTATAGATTATTCCCCTTCCCCTATGGGAATAAACTGTACCTTTATAAACACATTTGTTGACGTCACTAGGCATAGCTATTAGGTAACTTGGGGGAGTGGAAGGCCATAAGTGCTGATGAAACTCTCCTGCTCTGGGTCTAAGTGAGCCACGGTAACTCCATCTTGTGAACTTTCACCTATCTACATGCTAACAGCCTATGCTAAAGCAGAATATGTAATGGTCAGCTTTTTTTTAGCAGACAGCTGCAGTTTTGCTCGCACTAACAGAAACGGTAGTAATAATGCGGGGGGAAAGGGGGAGGGAAAGGCCTAGTGCGTAAAGCTTGCAAGGCCAAAAATAAGCATATGAAAGGGAATGTTTCTAACATGCACAATATGTACCTGCTGTAACTGCTATCGGGTAGAAAGGGGTATAAGGAAGAAACCAGAACAAAAGGCTTACTGAAAACAGCTTGGAATATAAAAGGAAAAACTTGCTTGTATGTGCTCTGCTTAATTTGAAACGTGCCTGCACCACTTTGAGATCTCAAATAAACTTGGTTTTCTTCTCCACCGTGGTGTGTCTATTGGTGCGGCGCACACCGGGCAACGAACCCTGTTGCCCCCTTGGGGCCCTTTAGGCTGGCAACAGTTTTGGTGCCCAACGTGGGGCTCGAGGCTGAAATTTAGCCTTGCTCGGTTCCCTTCTGGCGGCCGACGGATTACGGCGACGACCGACGCACAGCGCGCACCGGTGACTTCATCGGGGGCCTCGGCTGAGACGTGGTGTGATCGACCCTGGAGGGCACAACGGTGCAACTCACTTCAATAGTGGAGAAGCAGTTGGGGGCGACGGTAAGAAACCGGACCCTTGGATAAGGTAGAAACAGTCCAGTGGGGACTTTTTGCCTGCTAGAGTATGGGGCAGGGACAGAGTACAGCCGGCGGGGCACAGTGTACGCCCTTAGAATGCATCCTAGCAAATTGGGATGTGTTTGGGTCAAATTCAATGCTTAAAAGTAAATTAAAAAAATTTTGTACAGTTGACTGGCCTTAATACCAGCTAGAGTGCCAGGAAAGGTGGCCACCGGAAGGAATCACTTAATTACAACACAATCCTTCAGTTACTTTTATTTTGTCAGCAAACAGGTAAATGAAATAAACATCTCTATGCGTATACGTTTATGGTGTTAAGAAATAGGACTAATATTTTGCACAAGTGCCATTTGACTCCAACAGATTTGGTAGTAACTGCTGCTAATCCCCAGCACCCTCCCACGGTTGTAATTACAACTGTGGGATAGTTGCAATATGTAAATGACTTGCTAATTGCTGCTGTGGGTCTAATTCCTTGACTCAAAGCCACTGTAAGTCTCCTGAACTTTGTTGAACTCCAAGGATACAGGGTAGCTCAAAGCAAGGCTCAAATTGCACTCTCTGAAGTACAGTATCTAATATTTCACATAACAAACACAAAAAAGGGCTCTCAAATAAAAAAAAAGGCTATCTGCCAAGTTCCTATCCCTAGCAACCGTAAACGGCTCAGAGCATTTTGGGGCATGGCAGGCTTTTGCAAAATATAAATCCCAGAGTATAAACTTAGGCTAAACCTCTGTATAAATGTGTTAAGAAATCAAATCATGACCCCTTTCACTGGTCCCCAAAAGCAAACAGGGCATTTAAAATCTTAAAAAAAAAGTTAATAAAAGCCCCAGCCCTAGGGCTCTCTAAGCCGTTCCAACTGTATGTGCATGAAAGGAAAGGGATAGCCCTGGAAGTGCTTACTCAGTTACTAGGCACCTAAAAACATCCCGTAGCATATTTCTCTAAACAACTAAATCAAGTTGCAAAGGGGTGGCCAGCGTGCTTAAGGGCGGTTGCGGCCACTGCGCTAGTGCTTGGAAAAGCTAAAAAACTGACAATAAAAAAACCTGTGCAAGTGTATATTCCCCATATGGTTCAAGCCCTGCTGGACACTAAGGGTGGTCTCTGGCTCACACAGGCTCGGGTTGCTCGGTACCAAGCAAAACTGTTAAAAAATTTTAAAGTTACCCTGCAAACCTGTCCCTCCCTTAATCCAGCTACCCTGCTACCAGAGACAGACAAGCAGGAACATGACTGTCTGAAAATCATAAATACACAATACTCTAGCCGCCCAGATTTAAAAAATCAACCACTCCCAAATGCTAACTTAAAATGGCATACTCATGGCAGTAGTGCTGTTATAAATGGGCAAAGAAGGGCGGGTTATGCTGTTATGACACTTCATAATACCGTGAAAGCTAAAAGTTTACCTGCTGGGACATCTGCCCAACTTGCTGAACTAGTGGCCCTGACTCGTGCACTCGAGCTGGCAAAAAACAAATGGGTTAATATCTTCACTAATTCAAAGTATGCTTTTGGGGTATTGCATGCTCACGCTGGTCTGTGGAAACAAAGAGGGATGCTAACAGCCCAAGGTTCCCCGGTTACGCATGGGTCTCCAATTCTCCGGCTGTTAAAAGCAATACAACTCCCCTCAGCAGTAGCACTGGTGCATTGCAAAGCCCATCAAAAAAAAAAATCAAAATGTAACCAAGGGCAATGCTAAAGCAGACAGGAAAGCCAAGCGCGCTGCTACCCTAAAATCACCAACAAAAAAGAATGCCCAAATGCATGCCCTCATCCCATCAGTAGGTGAGCTTGCAGCTCCTCAGTACTCCCATAATAACAAAAACCTGGCTAACAGGTTCAGTCTCCAAAAAAAAAAAAATAGCTTTATTCCACACACAAAAAAATCCTCCTACCCAAGGGGCTGATTCGACCAGTGTTGCAAAAGCTGCATCAGACCACACACTCAGGCAGAGAGGCTCTTACCCAGCTTATAAATAAGTATTTTCTAACGTCTGAACTTAAACCCCTAGCATCACAGGTACAAGCTAAATGTTTAATCTGCCAAAAAAACAACCCTCAACCAGAAGTAGCAGTGTTGCCAGCCACTCTGAAACCTACCCCAAGCCCAAAATTGGTGTGGCAAATAAACTTTACTGAGTTTCCCAGGACCCAAGGGCACAGGTACCTCCTCGTCTTGGTAAATCAATTCAGTGAATGGCCTGAAGCCTTCCCATGTTGTAACAACACTGCCAAAACGGTGGCTCTTAAGTTTGTCAAGGAAATTATTCCTCGCTTCAGACTCTCCCAGTGGATGGAATCTGATAACAAAACACACTTCACATCACAAGTTGTTCAAAAAATATCAAGTGCTTTGCAAATCCCCTGGAAGCTCCACACACCATGGTGACCACAAGCCAGTGGAGTAGTGGAACGCACAAATCAGACACTCAAGCAACACCTCTCAAAGGTCTGTCAAAAGGCCTCTCTTACGTGGCCTAATGCTTTGCCCCTTGTGTTACTCCGCATTCGTGCTCTCCCCAAGGGCAGGTTAGGGCTTAGTCCCTTTAAAATTATGTTTAAAAAAGCATGGCCTCTAAATGGTACACCGGTTCTAGCAAAAAAATAAAAAAAAAATGTGTTTTTTTGTCTCAGTACATGTGCTCTCTGTCTGCTGTTCTTTCTTCTCTTCACAAATACACCCAAAATTCACAGCCTCTTCTGCTGGATGCCCCTGTCCACTCCTTACAGCCTGGTGACGCCGTTCTCTTTCGGACCTGGAAGGACAAACCTCTCCAAGAGAAGTGGAAGGGACCCCACACGGCAGCAAAGGTCAAAGGACACAAGAACTGGATTCATCACTCTCGATTAAAAGCAGTACCCACTCCTGAACAGTGAACTGTCCAGCCTGCAAAAAAACCTGCCAGCAACAATTTAAAACTTAAGCTGTTGTTCAAAAAACAGTAAAAGTAGCGAAAAATGCCTGGTAATCTTTCTAAACAGCCACAGCGCATTCTCTGCGAAAACCCTAAGCACTGGTTCTATCTATTCACAGTAGGCCGACCTAGCCTATGGTCCTGGTCCTTTTATTTTTTTAATTTGTTTAGTGTCAATAATTCTTATCTTCTGGGCATTTGGGTTGTTGTAATCACAATATGGGTTCAAGTTTAGGGTCTCTCACAGCACTCCTTTTTGTCACAAAAGCAATCCTTCTGTTACCTACTGTTTCACCCACATCACATACAAAATGGAAAGCCATCCCTGCAGACATGGCTACCAATACCTATAAGGCCCTAAAAATTGCCTTTGCTCGTAAGTTTAATCTCTCCCACTGTTAAATATGTGCCCAGACTCCCCACCATTCGGCTGGATTGCCCTAAAAAGTAGTTCCCCAAAATTAGTCAAACTATTGTCAAAGGTAAATGGTTACCAGCAGTAGCACCTCTAACAATTTAAGTTTGCAATCCAACTGTACTGCAAGAGCTCCTTATGGCCTACACAATGGCTCCTGGAATTCCCACTATAGTAGCACTCTTAAGCCCAAGCCCATTCATCTACGCTCTCCACCCACTGGTCTCATATGTTATCAGCAAGCCAGGACAAGTAATCATACCTGGTTTGCTGGCATTAGTACATGTAAATTTTATATTGGTCCTGGTATAAGTCTCACTATCCCTTTACTAAATGCCATCGGTTGTCAAACCGGCGCTGCATTCTTTGCCCTTTCCCCACAAGCCACCCTACAAAACCTACAAGGTAACAATAAAAAAGCTAGTTAAAGTAAAGCATTGTAAATCTGTGGTAATAGTGCCTATAAATAGCTTCCTCATGGTTAGCATAGTAGCTGTTATAAAGGCTATCTCGCTCCTCCCCTCCATGTTTTAACCCAGGTTCCCCCAGTTCACCCTAGGTACTATCGGTCCTTAAAAGCTACCATTAAACCCATCCAACCCCCCCCCAAATTTAAAATAATATTCCTCCCTACTTATGGGGTGGGACGGCTAACCCAACTCTACAAAAAACGGTCTAAATTTCTCACTCCGTTTGCCAATAATACCCTGGCCATAACAAAAAGCATAAATTCTAAGCTGTACCAGCTTCAATTGCTAGCCCTACAAAACCGCCAGGCCTAAATTATGTGTTAGCCTCACAAAGCGGGGTTTGTGCCCTTATTAAAAAAAATGTTGTACCTATGTCCCAAAGTTTTCACAAAATATTAACAAGCACATCTTGTCAGCCAAACAAGTAAACCAGTAAAAGCCCCCCCCCCCCCCAAAAAAAACCCACTATTTTTAATTCCCTTTAGGATTAGTTACCTAGTCTAAAAAAACTAAAAAAAGGCATTGTTCGCATCTTGCTCACAGGTATTATAATATGTTTTGTTCTTTTCCTTTTGCTCGCTTGCTGTAAAGTGCTCATACATAAAATTTGTACCTCCCCTTCCCCAGAAGTTCCTTTATACTCTCTTATTAATAATCCCAATTGCATAAAGCTTAATCACATTTTGTCTTTAAAGTATAAAAAAACTCTGCCAAAAGTTTGTTAAATGTTCTCAAAAAAGGGAATTGTTGGTGTCACTAGGCATAGCTACCAGGTAATTCGGGGGAGTGGAAGGCCATAATTGCCGATGAAACTCTCCTGCTCTGGGTCTAAGTGAGCCACAGTAACTCCATCTTGTGAACTTTCACCTATCTACGTGCTAACAGCCTATGCTAAAGCAGAATATGTAATGGTCAGCTTTTTCTAGCAAACAGCTGCAGTTTTGCTCGCACTAACAAAAACAGTAATAATAATGCAAAAAAAAAGGGGGGGGGGGGAGCCTAATGCATAAAGCTTGCAAGGCCAAAAATAAGCCTATAAACAAAAATGTTTCTAACATGCACAATATGTACCTGCTATAACTACTATCAAATAAAAAAGATATAAAAAAAACCCAAAACAAAAAGCTTACTAAAAACAGCTTAAAATATATATAAAAAAGGCTTGCTTATATATGCTGTGCTTAATTTAAAACATGCCTGTCTCCCTGCACCACTTTAAAATCTCAAATAAACTTTGTTTGCTTCTCCACCCTGGTGTGTCTATTGGTGCGGCGCACACCGGGCAATGAACCCTGTTGCCCCCTCGGGGCCCTCTAGGCCGTCAACATTTTTGCTTGTGCCTTAAAGGCAGCTAGGTGCACTGGGTTAAAAGGAACATGAGAATACACTGGCACAATCTGGGCTGCACGATCTACATCAGGGGGTTGTGTGTTTACACAAGGCATCACTGATTTAAAGTTGAAGAGGCCGATAGTTCAATTCCAAACTGTGCTTGAAAGGAGGAACGTAAACCACAGCAATCTCAAGAGTGCTCCCCCATGCAATACCCACTTACTCTTCCTTTTAGCGGAGTATCTTTTTATAGTCCAGTAGCCAAATGCAAGTTTTTGGCAGTACCTTGTTTTAGTGTCCATACAATGTTGTTGGGGTTTTTTTGGTTGTTGTTGTTATGTGTAGCGGGGTAGTCTCCTGCTCCTGCTTGGAAGGACTTAAAAGAGCCCTAGAAGAGGGCTGTGGCAGGGAAAAAGCTGGGTTGACTGGGGAAGCGGCCGCAGCTGGGCCACGCCCCAGTCAGACCATAGCTGGCCTGTATAAAAAGGCTGTGAGCCAGACGCCCAAGGCTCTCTCTGGTCTGAGAGGGAGCAGGGCCTGGCTGCCTAGCAGAAAGGGTACTAGGAGTGAAGCAGGGCTGGGGAAAGCCAGAGGAGCTGGGGAGCTCCTAGCTGGCAACTCCCCAGGCTGCAAGGGCTGGTTTAAGGCCTAAAAGGGTACTGGGTGGTAGAGGAAGGCAGCAGGTCTGAACTCCCTTGCCTGTGATAAGTGGCTTATACTGCAGTCTGCCCCAGGGAGTGGGGCTAGATGGTGACTGGCAGTGGCCCATAGGCTGAGGCAAGGTGGGGATAGAGGGTTGGGGGTTCCCCTGAGTGGGGAGACCTAGAGGAAGGGGCATCGGGGTCCGGGAGGGACACGGGGACCCAGCGGTAGCAGATCACCAGCCGACAGGGGGTGCTCTGATGGCTGGAGAGCTAATTCCCGAGACGACCAGCAGGAGGCACCGCAGGGGCGAGTCACTGCACATTTACATTATGGTTGTTGTTTTTGTGGATTCTGAATTTCAAGATCCTAAATTCAAAGAAACTATGACACCGCTTCACTGATGAGCATTTTGAAATATGAGCATTCATTACTACCCCCCTCCTAATTCACAAGCCAGGTCACAGTGAAACAATGTTGATTAGATTTTAATTATTTTTAAATGAAAACCTCACACTTATTTTATGGTATGGGACATAATTAGCTAGAAAGTACATATGTTATGTCTGTATTAGCTGTATATCTTGCTAGTATATCCATACATCCTCCACCCGAACCAAGACACAAAGTATATTTTTCTTGTACGCTCATTGCATGCTTATTTAACAAACTTACCTATTTACGCAGGAGAATTAATTTTTAGACAGTTATAAACATTAAAAAATTATAAACCAAACAGGTGGTCAGCTGTTTTCTTCATTCACCTTTTGTTTTCTTTTCTGCTTTTCACTGTTGATTTTCCATGCTAGCTATTGCTTCTTGGTTGCAATTCATAGGTCTTTTACCCTTCACTTAGTCTTAGCCTCCACACATGCAGCTGGCTGGTGAAAGACGTAAACATAGAGGACACCAATGAGGCACAAATACAAAAGAGCCATAAAGAAGAAATGAAGTCAAGGATTGCTGCAGATGCAAAGGACGGAAAAACTATTAGTAAGAAGCTACAAGCACCCAAAAGCAACCGTAAATCTCATCAGTGGTAGAGTGGCACCATCATCAATCAACATAAAGGAAGCACTTACAATTGGAATTCACCAAATGCTATTAGTAAGAAGCTACAAGCACCCAAAAGCAACCGTAAATCTCATCAGTGGTAGAGTGGCACCATCATCAATCAACATAAAGGAAGCACTTACAATTGGAATTCACCAAATGCTAGAATTTGAATGGAGCAAGCCACAGGGTTTTATGACACAATATCAAGAATAGTAGAGACACTGGCAGGGACAAAAAAGCCTGCTCAGATTGGTCCAACAAAGGTATTCACCTCTAACCTTATATATTCAAGAGGGACAGGACTACAAGCAAGATCACAAGAGGTTGACATCAAGAACATTTTGTCACGAGTTGGCTCCTGTAGGAATATCAATGTTCACTGGCAACATCCTTATACAACAAGGTTTTGGTACCAAAAGAGAAACTGGTGGGCATATCAGTATTTTCAGATCACACTGACATAATTGTCTTATTTTTGCACTTCCACCATGAACAGGGCCTAAGATTTTTAGTGATTATGCATCCAAGAGAGAAGTAATAGATGTTCTACTGCAGAGCCACACCGGAACATTGTACCAGGACTGTTAGCTGTCCGTGTACTCTCAAAGGTACTGTATCAACACTGAAGCTCAGCTCCTTACCTTGAACAACTGAAGTGTTTATAGAAAATGCAAACCAAGCACATCTTTGGCACATGTGTAGAAAAGTGCTTTGGATCCAGACGCACTATCACTTGATCCACAGTAGTATGGGATGGATACACAATGATGGTTCTAACCCTGTTTCAAAAAAACTGTACCAGACAATGTTGTGCTTGCTCTTCCAGATATTTTGAAATTAATCAAGTGCTTTTGTGAGGCGGATGCACCTTGCAAATCTATGAAATGTGTATGTAACAGTGCCAGACTGCCATGTATCATACACTGTGCACACTAAGGAGGTGTGGTGTGTTGCAATGACCTGACACAATCAGCTTTAGCATGTGCAGATGAAAATGGTGATGACAAGCAGTGACCTTTATTACGCATATTAGCACACTCAGCTATAGTTTGAATGAGAAAAAACAGTAGAAATCACTGATAATGATTCCAAAATGAAGTATTTGGTTAAAATTTTATTATTATAATTTTGCTGAATATATGTATCTATAATTTGTTGAACATTCATAGATTTATAGATTCTAGGACTGGAAGGGACCTCGAGAGGTCATCGAATCCAGTCCCCTGCCCGCATGGCAGGACCAAATACTGTCTAGACCATCCCTGATAAACATTTATCTAACCTACTCTTAAATATCTCCAGAGATGGAGATTCCACAACCTCCCTAGGCAATTTATTCCAGAGTTTAACCACCCTGACAATTAGGAACTTTTTCCTAATGTCCAACCTAGACCTCCCTTGCTGCAGTTTAAGCCCATTGCTTCTTGTTCTGTTCTTAGAGGCTAAGGTGAACAAGTTTTCTCCCTCCTCCTTATGACACCCTTTTAGATACCTGAAAACTGCTATCATTTCCAAACTAAACAAATCCAATTCCTTCAGCCTTCCTTCATAGGTCATGTTCTCAAGACCTTTAATCATTCTTGTTGCTCTTCTCTGGACCCTTTCCAATTTCTCCACATCTTTCTTGAAATGCGGTGCCTAGAACTGGACACAATACTCCAGCTGAGGCCTAACCAGAGCAGAGTAGAGCGGAAGAATGACTTCTCGTGTCTTGCTCACAACACACCTGTTAATACATCCCAGAATCATGTTTGCTTTTTTTGCAACAGCATCACACTGTTGACTCATATTTAGCTTGTGGTCCACTATAACCCCTAGATTCCATTCTGCCGTACTCCTTCCTAGAGAGTCTCTTCCCATTCTGTATGTGTGAAACTGATTTTTTCTTCCTAAGTGGAGCACTTTGCATTTGTCTTTGTTAAACTTCATCCTGTTTAACTCAGACCATTTCTCCAATTTGTCCAGATCATTTTGAATTATGACCCTGTCCTCCAAAGCAGTTGCAATTCCTCCCAGTTTGGTATCATCCGCAAACTTAATAAGCGTACTTTCTATGCCAATATCTAAGTCGTTAATGAAGATATTGAACAGAGCCGGTCCCCAAACAGACCCCTGTGGAACCCCATTGTTGACATGAAAAAGAGCAGTCACTGTACCAAGTGAAAATTGAGATCTGTGCTATGCTCAACTTCCCTCCTTTTATGCCCCCATTATTTAAAAAGGTATGATTTATTGATTGATATTGCACAGCTTAAATATATTCATTTCATGTATTAGAACTCTTCTGACTTTATTTTCTATGCCCCCAAATCATGCAAACTCTTATTTATAATGACTGAACTGAGGATGTTGCCTCTTTATTGGGATAATGGTATTTACTTAACCTTTGCTCAGGCCTAAGAGTTTTAGTTTTATTTAACTGAGAGCTCCACCCAAACTTTCAGCTAGGCTTGACATCAAGAATGTACAATGTGGATACGAAAGTAGCTGCGGAATGAACGACATAAATTGCCACCAGCCACGTATCAATCTGGATGCTTTTCCTTTGGTCATGTTGATTTGGAAGAGTTACATGCATAGCGAAAACAACTCTTCCATAAGAGAGACTCAGGGGCATCCATTTAAGATGAGCCAAACATGACAATTTAATTCATTGATCCACATTTCAATTTTTTCCATAGTATCCGTCCCTGTCGTAATTGATCACCTCACTTATATTCATTAAATCAGGAACTGAGCAACAAAGGGCTAAATTTTTAAAGGAATGTAGATGCACAGTGATGCGTATAGGTGCGTTTCAAAATCACACTAAGCACCTAGGTGCCAATCTGCATCTCTAGGCATCTAAACACCTTTAAAAATCCAGCCCCTCAAGGTCTCACAGTGAATCTATAGCAGAGCAAGGAACTGACCCTAATCCTCCTGCATTCCTGTCCAGTGCCTTAATCACAAGACCACCCTCTCCCCCGTCCCGATGCTTGGCGATATAGTTATTCCCTTAAATGTGTATTTTGATCTTCCTGGATTTTTATGTCTTTTCCTGTAACTATATTCAGTAAAGAAAAGGCCAGTTAGTAAGTCTTGCAATGTAACTGAAGTGTTGCCATCTTGTCTCAACAAACAAAATCAACATCAATCTCTAGAACAGTGGTTCTCAAACTTCATTACACTGTGATCGCCTTCTGACAACAACATTTATTACATGATCCTGCCTAGGGCTGAAGCCGAAGCCCAAGCCCCACTGCCCTGGTCAGGGATAAGAGGGGGCTGAAGCCCTAGCCTGAGCCCCACCGCCCTGGGCTTTGGCTTCAGTTCCAGAATCCAGTGAGTCTAACGCTGGCCCTGAAGACCCCATTACAATGGGCTCACAACTCACAATTTGAGCTGCTCTAGAACAATTACAATAAACAAAAACAAAGTAGATTTTTTCCCTTTTTTATTAGCTAGATCCCTGGCAAGCAACCAAATGCCCAGTCTACTGAAAAGTCAGTTTAGAAAGACTAGATAGCAGGTGTCTAGTGGAAAGTACCTGATCAATAATTCACATACTGTTAGCCTGACTGTTCCGTTGAAGCCACTCGAACTAAGGCAAAATGATAATTATTACGACGATCGTGTATGGGAGTGCTGCAAGAACGGTTGGCATTGTACGCTGGGTACACGTAACACTGTCCCAACATGCTTACAGAGGAAAGGCCTGATTGCTGAAAGGGGCATTATACTCACTTTCATTTTTGCATCTGCAAATTGTGGGAGCAAAAGAGGAAAGCCGGGAGGATGCCCCTTTCAAAACCAAGAATTCATATTTGTTTAGTACATATGCCTCTTGTATAATGCCCTGTTGATGTCATCTGGACATCCATGTACCTGGCTGCACCTGTACATCAGATGTGTGTACGTGTCCAAGTGACATCAACTGTGTCCACAAATCAAGAAAACAAAGGTGGAGGCAGTGTTTTCAAAAGCTGGCCCTACAGGCGTGAGTCGCTACAATACAAAAGAGGATAAACCAGAACAAACAGAGGGCAGGATGTGGACTCATTTCTGTTTTTTATATCTCTTTAAAGTCATGAAGGACAAATGAAAAAAATGACTTGTTTAAAGAGTTCATGTTGACTTACTTCACAGACCACTGAGCATTCCTCTTCTTAGGGAGTCCAGGCCTAAAAGGCAAACCTAGGTAGGTGTATAACCGAGTTCTTTTGCAGCTAACACTAAATAGTGGAAATATCAGATATCATCTCTGATTTAAAATAAACTGATGTCCGGTCAATGAGGGCCTGTTGAAGACTTTAAAAAACAATGTTACAACCAGTGAGAGAGAGAAAATCTAGATTGAAGCAGATTGACAAAATGATTTTTCATCAGAAGATGTTCGAGAATGGAATTTCTGATAAGAGAGAGACACCCCTTTACATCTCCCCCATTAATTCTTTAGACACTCACCTGGGATGGAGGAGACCTAGGTTCAAGACACTGCTCTACCTGACTTGACCCCATCCCAAATGTGTGCCCTAACCATGAAGCTACTGGTTTTTCTGGGATGTGCCATTCCCCCACCATTCCCTGTTGGAGCTGTCCCACCTTGTATATATAATAAAACATTAATTGGCCAGAGAGAGCAAGAGCGAGACAGACTGACTCAAGTGCTCTAACCACCAGGGCTATAATCTGGATGTGGGAGACACAAGGGCCTGAATATGAGCATCATAAATGATACTCTCAGCCGCTGGTATATAGAGTTAGATTCTCTTTAGCCCAATGAATAATTATTTATACAAAGGGGAATAGCTTCAATTGGGTGGGGAGAAGAAGAGGGGGCGAG